AAGTCTGAAATCAAAGTGTCAACGGGGTTGGTTTTGAAGCCTCTGAGGGCCTTCATGCTTCTCTCCTAGCTTCTGGTGACTGCTGGCAAATCTTGACATTTCTTGGATTATAGATGCATCACTTTAATCTCTGCCTCCTTCTTCAAGCCACCTTTTTCTTCTTGTCTATGGTCCTCCCCTCTGTGTCTCCTCTTCCATCTGTGTCTTTTTTCTAAATAAGGTCATAGGTTCTAGGTCCACATATCTTTTGGGGACCATTGCCATTTTACCCACGCTATACCAGAATTCTGCATTAGCCCTTATTACAATTAGATTTCATCATCCATTCATTGATCATTGTCTATATGCAGGGCTGTTTCTGGGAGCATTGAGGAGTTGATTCAAAGGAAACATCAGTCACAGGAGTCTGCACCCTTCAGTACATAAACTGTGGAGGGATTGGGTGTAAAACCACAAGTCTTCTCCTCTTCTCGAGTTTCCTAATTTGTTTTGTTTTGTTTTGTTTTTTGCTAATGACTTGAAAACATGTCATCCTCTCTGACTCTTCTTGTATGATTTCCTGTGCACCTCCTGTTGATGTCTGAGGAGAGAAGAGAAAGGAAAGGGGAAAGGATGGAGGGGAGAAAACAAAATAGATGCATTTCTTGCTGGTAACTTAGTCATTCTGGTACTTACAGCCAGATTTTATAGCAGACATCCTGCACACTGTCAAAAACTGGCAGGGAAGGAGGTCTATTGCTCTTTCACTCTTTAGTGAATTGTGATTTGGCTGAGGAAAGAATGTGGGGAAAAGATTACAGCTAGATGGTAAATTAAGATGGGCAGAACTCTAATACAGAACTCTACTAAGGCAGGTACTTGCACAGAAATACCTCCGGAGATTTTGCCAAGCCAGAGCTTCTGCCATACAGCATATACAATATTACAGGAAAGCTGAAGCCATGATCTAGCTTTTTTTAAGTAGAAATAAGTAACATTTATAAGCAACCAGTACATTATTAAGTAGGAGATTATATCCATTTTGTATAGCAAATGAGTTATCACTTTTTGCATAATTTATCATAGTTTAATATGGAGCCTATTTTTACACAAAAAGATAAGATAATTTTTCAAAAACCTTATAGCTATTTTAGATATACCACTGACTAAACATAAGAATGACCCACACCCAAGCCTGTGATTTTCTTTTTTTCTTTTCTATTTTTTTTTTTTTTGAGTTGGAGTCTCACTCAACCACCCAGGTTGGAGTGCAGTGGCACACTCACGGCCACCCCAGCGACTACCTGCTGGGCTCAGGTTACCCTTCTGCCTCAGTCTTCCACGTAGCTGGAACTACAGGTACACGCTACCACACCCGGATAATTTTTTTTTTTTTTTATTGTAGAGATGAAGTCTCACTAAGTTGCCTCGTCTGGTCTTGAATCCGCGGATTCAGGAAATCCACTTGTCTCGGCCTCCCAAAGTGCTGGGATTACAGGCTGCGCCACTGAGCCCGGCCAAGTCTTTGATTTTCAAGGCAACACGTCCTTCATAAAATAAAGACTGGTCACTCCAATCATGCCAATGGGAAGTTAGCTTATTGGTTATGAATGGTGATTCTGAAGTCACATTTCTTTTGTTCAAAAAAAATAGCATAATTTATTTGTGCCTTTGATCAGCTACTTAACTTCTCTGCCTTAGTTTCTTCATCTATAAAACAGTTATAATAGGATTACATTTTCACAGGATTCTTGTGAAGATTAAAAGTGATAAAACATATAAAGCTTAAAATAGTGTCTGGCAAACAATTTTAGCTATTATTTTGTTAATAGTTAAGAATTAATAATTAAATCTTATAAAAGCCAAGCAAAATTGGTATGTTATTAACTTCACAAATAAGAAAACAAGTTCAAAAAGACTAAATGACTTTCCAAGGTTAAATTTAAAAGATGAAATTCACAGTCTGTTTTCCTTGCTCCAAGCCCCATAAACTCTTCACTATACCACACTTTTTCTCATGACAACTATTGCCTGCCATGCCAGATTTATTCTTGGCTGAGTTTTTTTAATCCTGCCCCTTCATTTGTATACTTCTTATTCTTTCTTCACCCCTTCCTTTCTCCAATTGCTGATTTAAATTCTACACATTCATCAAAGACCTCTGCAAGATTTTACCTTGATGTTTCCAACAACTTTATGAGTGTTGCTAGATCTGTATACCATCTGTGCTGTTATTTATTCAGTATTTTTTAAAATTGATACACTTTTTATGCTTAAATGTGCTTGCAAAGGAAATCACCATATAAGAAAGCCTGGCTTTGTTTGGCATAAATAAACAGTAGCTGTAAAGATCACTATTTTGTAAAAAATAAATAAAACAAAATAACAATTTAGATAAGTTTTGTTGCTTCCCAAAGGCTCTGAGCTTGATACATGCTCATTTTTGTTAAAAGATAAATCAAAACAAACATGTTAGATATTAATGATATATGTGCATCAAATTGAAAATTTTAAACTTTTTCATTGACATAACAAAGTAAGGTATAATAAAACTGAAAAGGAATTAACTTTCTCATTGAATGTTATAATTTTATTTAATGCTGCTTTCTAGTACTATGTTATAGACTCTCTTATACAATGTTAACATTCCACACTTTGGAAAACATTAATTTATCTAATTGCCTACCCAGTCTCAATATTTCTTCTGTAAATTGCACCATTTGTCTATGACACTTATTTGGGAATTTACTCAAGATTTTTCTTATATATGCCATTTAAATAGTTTATATCATTTCATGTAAGCAGATACAAGAGGAATCCTCAGGATAATAAAGTCTTAGTCAGAAGTAATAGTTTAGCCAAACCAGAAATAATCTCATGTCCAATGATTCAGCAAATGTCATATGGGAGAAGGATAAAAAAGTTCATTAGTCATAATAAATTATTTTACAGCAAATCAGTAGAGAATTATATTTGAATAGTTATATATTTATATATATTTGTGCCTGTTGATGTTAATAGTCTATGTATAACTAAGTTTATTAGTTATAAACAAATATCCTTTATAAAATAAGAATAGTTAGCGATGTTTTTTTTGTATTGCTGCTTACACTTTCTGATTTAAAAAATAATGTTGAAGTAAAACTAGCTTTGAATAATGTGATCAGCGTTTCAAAGTTCATTTGTATTTCATAAGATTTCAGTTTCATGTTTGATAATCAAGCTCAACAAACAGATTGTAAACTGACTACTACCCTGACTAAGGTTTTGGTCTTTACTAAACATCTAAGTTTGAGAATAGTTAATGTAGCACACTACATTCATTTGTCATTTTACTTTTCTCATTTTCTCTATAGGTCAGAATTTGGTCTTTTCTCAAAATACATGTGTTTCTGGAAGTTATAAATAAAAACTAGGAACAATTGCAAATGTCTTCACATATTACTAATTTTTACAACTTTAGCTGTATTTTATAGCATTTATTTCTATTAAACTTGAACTCTGCCCTATGGAAATACATTTTTTTTTAAAGCTGTGGAGTACAATTCAGGCTTAGGTAAACAAATGATCAATGTGAAATTTTAAAATTTTATTCATATGAAAACATTTTATCATCTTCAAAAGATCTCCCTGATTTCAGGGGGGAAAGATATATATTCAAGTTTTGATTAAATATAGAAGATTTACAGTATTTTGTCCTCAGAATAACAATTTATTCATATATATACATGAATATATATTAGGACATTTAATATTTTAAATTGATTTAAGATTGAGTTATGTCTTAATGCACAGTTATATTTCTTTTATGTGCTGTGTTTCTCTAAAATTATTACACATTTTTGAAGACTGACAAAAGTTCAAATAAAGGATAGTCAAAAGCTTTTGTCTGATACAAGTGTAAAATTTTCATTCTCAATCAAGTCTATCAGCAAGAAAGTTTATTACCTTATAATAAGAGAAACAAAATGTTTTGATTTTCCTTATATTCTAATCCTCTAGGGCTAATAAATATGTTTAACGGCCTCTTCAAAATGAAGCACTATTCCATGTTCAAAAGTATTTTAACTAATTATCAACAGTAGGAATTAATTACATAGCTTTCCATTTGGAGTAATTTAGTGGAAGGAAGAGCCATCCATTTTAATGAAAGTAGATGGAATTTAGAACTAACAAACCTGAATTATAATCCTAGTTCCCCCTAAATAAATCAGTTTTACTCCTCTCAGTTCATATTTGCTGATATGCAAAATGGAAATAATATCTCTCTTATAGTCATCAGCTAATAATTTATGAAGTTGATCGTGAAAATTGCTTTAAAAATGGTAACTATCATTATCCAACTAGAACATTTTCAATAAAGTATCCATTTCCCCTAAAGATTGAATTCAGGAGCCGGGCTCAGTGGCTCAGCCTGTAATCCCACACTTTGGGAGGCTGAGGTGAGTGAATTGCCTGAGCCCGTGGGTTCGAGACCTGCCTGGGCAACTTGGCGAGACCTCTCTCTACAAAAAATCAAAAAATTAGCCGGGCGTGGTAGTGCACGCCTGTAGTTCCAGCTACTTGGAAGGCTGAGGTGGAAGGATCACGGGAGCCCAGCAGACCAAGGCTGCAGTGGCCGGGAGTGGCTACTGCACTCCAGTCTGGGTGACAGAGTGAGACTCCAACTCAAAAAAAAAAAAAAAAGATTGAATTCAGGTAGAATTAGTCTTATTTATTTTATTAATACTTTTATTATTGTTTTCTATTCTTCTCTGTCCAATCCATACATTTTTCTTCGAGACTCACTCTCTCATGTCCTAATGGTAAGCACTGCCATCACAGTTCTACGCAAGAAAAGTCTGCTCTTATACACTCTGGCAAAAAATAATTTTCAAAGCAAAAGTAAATGTCTCAGTAGTGATAAAAGTGCTGCTGAGCAAATGATCAGTGATATGGAATAGTGTGAAGCGATATGAGGAGACAAAGTAGTGAAGGTGGTTGGAAAAGACTTTTCTGGATGGTGGAATCTGAAGATAGTCATGAGAGAAGAAGAAAACCACGTAGGCCTGAGAGAAGAAGAAAGCCCTGAGGCAAAAAACGCCCTCTGCCTTCAATCAACCACAGCAAAACAGAGGCTGAATGGTGAGAGACAATTGAGGAGTAGTAGGGAGCCAGAGTAGTGAAGTTTAAATTTAAAGAGATTTTTCTAGGTAGCTATTGCAGGCACTGAGGGAGAGATATAGTTGCTGAGTCGATATGTTTTAATCTAAGATACATCTTTAAAGAAAAGTTGATAGGGGTGAGAATAAAAGGAGACTCAAGAAAGGTCATTAACATTTTGCCTTGCTCAACTGGAAGACAATGGTACATAAGCTGATCCAAGAAAGCAGGGGAAGAGGTAGATTTGAGAATTCTAGTCAAGTGTTCTGTTTTGGGCATGTTAAATTTAAGATGCTAATATAGACAGTCAAGTGAATATACAAAGGAGGCAAGTGAATTTTTAAAATGTAATTATTGGACTTCTATTTGTTCTATTTTCTGTTTTTCATGTAGCAAATTCTGTTCATGTGCTTATTCTCAAAGTTGTTGAAATGATATTTGATTTTAATTCTCTCAAGTGATTTTCCTTGCAGAAAGTTCTCCTGGATTATATTTTACCATACAGGAATTCCCTCAATTTTAAAAGTATCTGTCTGGGCCTTTCTGCATCTTTCCCAGGTCATGAGATGCACCACTTATTAGTAGAAAGACAACAAATGGTGGCCCCACTTATGAAATACGTAGGGAAGGATTTGTTATTCCCTATGTCATCTTGAGGTATTCAGGATCTGACGTTGTATCTGATGCTCTAAAGCAAGACTCAGCAAACTGTGGCCCACAGGGTAAATCTAGCCTTCTGACTGTTTTTGAAAATAAAGTTTTATTGGAAAACAATCATACCTGTGCCTTAGGTATTATGTATGGCTGCATTCATAATAACAGAGTTGAATAATTGTAAATAACAGAGTTGAATAATTGTAATGAAAACTTATGGCACACAAAGCTTAAAATATTTGGTTCTCTAAGAAAATGCTGGTTGTCCCTTACTCTAAAGTTTCTTACTATCACATAGTATCATAATTTCATAATTTGAAAGAAGTGAATTAGGAATTAGCTAAGACCTATATTTATTTACCACTTGAAACAATTGTGAGTGTAGATCTGATAATCAACATTTAATTGTATTGATTTATTTTTCTTTTTTTTCCTCTAAAGCTGAGAATCAGAGTTCCATTGAAACAACAGAAACACCAAGTAAGTTCATTTTTTTATCTTTGACATCTTCATGGGTAAAAATCCCAAGAATGAAACAAAGTAGACCAATCAGGTTGAGGGCAGAGTGAAATAATACAAGGGAATACATTACATGGCAACTAAAATGTTTTGGAAACTTTGAATTTAAAAAAATGCAGACCAGGGAAACACATAAGGACATGTCTGGGTTCTCTGTGAATGAGGGGAGTGGAGCCAGCTCTAGAGGGTGCAAAAAGTCTGTGCACTAGTCCTCTGCCCCAAATCCACTGCTCTTAGTCTGTTTCTGTTATCAATGTGCCCTCTCCCAAGAGTACAGAGCATCTTTTTCTGTACCTCCTAATAAAGTTTGGTCCTGGCATCCAAAAAGATGATGTTACAAATCACAACCAACAATCTAAAATGTTAGAATTCAACTACACTGAGATACCACCTAACTCTAGTCAGATTGACCATCATCAGTAACTCAAAAAATAACAGATGCTCGAGAGGATGTGGCGAAAGGGAACACTTCTACACTGTTGGTGGGAGTGTAAACTAGTCAGCCTCTATGGAAATCAGTGTGGCGATTCCTAAAAGTTCTAAGAATCGACCTTTCATATGAAGCCACAATCCCCCTTCTGGGAATATACCTGGAAGAACTCAAATCACTCTGTAAAAAAGATACCTGCACATGTATGCTTATCGCAGCATTGTTCACAATAGCAAGAACATGGAACTAAACATGCTGCCCATCAAAAGAGAACTGGATAAAAAAAGTGTGGTACATATATAAAATGGAATATTACACAGCCATAAGAAGAACAAAATCATGAACTTCACAGCAACCTGAATGGAATTAGAGTTGATAGTACTGAGTGATCTTTCATAGAAACAAAGATTTGAGTATCACATGTTCTCACTCATAAGTGGACCTTGAACAACTACAATAATACTATAAGAAAAGCATTTACAGTAGTGGAAAACTGCAGTGGGAGGTGAGGGTTGTGTAGGGATGTGAGCTTAACAGTAGTTGATATCTGCCTGGGGAAAGGGGGGCACACTTCATCAACAAGGGTACCTGCACAATGAATATTTGTATACCTAATCCTAAATTGTACCTCACAATTTTAAAATTAAAAAATGTTATAATTCCAAGAAGTGCTCATGTTTCACTGTCTCTTAATTTTAAACTGAATGAATTTTGGATAACGGGGAAACAAGAATTAAAGAAGATTGTTGGGCAAGGGAAGGTGGTCATTTTGAGTCTTCTCTTGTTTTGAATTAATAATTATGTGGAGGATTTTTATCTTCCTATATTCTTCCTGGTACATATACAAATGACAAATCTCATATGCTCTCAATCCTTGTAACTTTTGATGTATATAAAATTAAAATGTGAAATAAACCAAGAGGATCATGTCACTTTAAAAATTGGAAAAAATTAAAACAATGAGAGTCTAATACCATTTTCATAACAAATGTCATAAAAAATCATCTTCTATCTTCAAAGAATTTGAAAGAAATTATTATGCTTTAACTTTGAATTATTATCTTCTACTGCATAATATATCTCATTAACACATACATTCTTTTTATATTATGGATTCCCTTTCATTAAAAATTTTTTTATTATTTCCATCTTAATAGACTAGAAATGGGCATAAAGTAGGAAAAACAAAGAAAAACAAACATAAAACCAGTGAATTTAGGCAGAGAGGGTTGATCTAGTCCTGGGAGGAGTCCTTCCCCCCCGGTCTTATAGATTGACTGTTGAAGAAAAGTCAAAGATGGAAGAGAATTGGAATGCTGTCAAATTGTCAGTTTCTTTTAAGGAGGGCCTGAAGTATCCTTCATTTTGTTTAAAAATTTGTATTTACAAAATGCTAACTGTAATGATAATTGATTTTAGTAGAATAAAAAGCTTATTTAGGCTATTTTACTTTTGAGTTATGGAAACTAGTTTTCCTAAAACTCATTTAGATAGTGCGAAAGAACTAAGACTGATTCTATAGGCCACAAGAAAAGTCAATATCATTATTTTATTTTATTTTATATTGGTTTTTTGGTTGTTTTTTTTTTGAGTTGGAGTCTCACTCTGTCGCCCAGACTGGAGTGCAGTGGCCACTCCCAGCCACTGCAGCCTCGACCTGCCTGCTGGGCTTCCACGATCCTTCCGCCTCAGCCTTCCAAGTAGATGGAACTACAGGCGCGTGCCACCACACCCGGCTAATTTTTGATTTACTGTAGAGATGAGGTCTCGCCAAGTTACCCAGGCAGGTCTCGAACCCGTGGACTCAGGCAATTCACTCACCTCAGCCTCCCAAAGGCGCGGAATTACAGGCTGAGCCACCGAGGCTGAGCCACCGAGCCCAGGTTTTTGTTTTATTTTTTGATTTGGGGTCTCACTCTGTCACCCATGTTGGAGGGCAGTAGCACACTTTCAGCTCACCACAGCCTCAATCTCCTGGGCTCAGATGTCCCTTCTGCTTCAGCCTCTTGAGTAGCTAGAACTACAGGCATGTGTTACCATGCCTGGCTAATTTTTTAAATTTTTTTGTAGAGATGAGATCTCACTATATTGCCTAAACTGGTTCTGGACTCAAGCAATTCTCCCGCCTCAACCTCCCAGAGTGCTGGGATTACAGGCATGCACCACTATACCTGGACTTCATTGTTTTATACTCAAACTTCAGATATATATTGTGGCTAAAGACTAAATCCAGGTTTACCATCCCCAAAAAGATGAATCAACAAGTTTATTAACAAGGTATCCTTTATACTTCTATTGGCAATTCTAATAACTTGGCTTTTTTTTCAGACTAAAACCTTCTTAGTGTTATGAATTTGTCATCAAAAATGTTAAAACACCAAATTTGTAAAATATTCATTCATAGGATCAAGAAAAAGCATATTATAAAAAATAATTCGTATTTCTGTTTTAGGTAGAAGTTGACATAGAATTGTATCCCATAGAATTACTTGCACTAATTCCTTTCTATAAATATGAGCAAATATGTTATTTAGTCTTTGAATATATCATACATAGTTCTCACATTTGATTATTTTTATATTATGTCCTTAGCTTTAATTTTCTTGAAAAGTTACATCTTTACCTGTTAATGATCTAAAAATCGATGATTGATTATATCATGGATAACTTTTGGGGAGGGATTATGAATAAGTAAGGCAACTCTTTATAAAATGTAGCTTATGAGCAACTATACATAGATGCAATTTAACATTATAAAATAAATATAGATTCATGTTGATTGACATCAGCAAGATGTTCTTCCCCCTTCCCATAAAAAAACCCTCAAAACAATAAATAAACAACAGTATTTCAACCAAAATATCTAAAGTTGAGCTCTGGAGGACCGCAAAGAAACAGCAGAAATACTCTAGTGCAACTGTCCCAACATTTTTGGCATCAGATTGGTTTGATGAAGACAATTTTTTCACAGATGGTTGATGAAGTTGGGGTAGAAGAGAGGCAGAGAACATCGGCGTTAGATTCTCATAAGAAGCGTTCCACCTATGTCCCTTGGATGTGCAGTTCACAATAGGGTTCATGCATCTATGAGAATCTAATGCCACCACTGATCTGACTCATGACGAAACTCTGCTTGTCCACTACACACATCCTACTGTGTGGCCAGTTCCCAATAAGCCACCGAACTTTACCAGTTCATGGTTTGGAGACTGGAGACCCCTTCTCTAGTGCACAGACCCAGAATGGCCACATAGGAAAAAGAATAAAATACCTTACCTCTGCCACTTCATCACTGAATCGGGATCAGCCTCAGAACCAGAAGAGATTCCTTCCTGCAGGAAAGACATAAGCAAGATGACCCCAGCAGCTCTTATTACCACCATGGAACATGCAGTTTTTACACCAGAGATTTCTGCTGTCCTCACAGGCTCTGAGGTTATCTGAGGAAGTTCCCCAGAGTCTACACACTGAGCTACCCCCAGAGAAGGAGCTGATGCTGTGCCTATGCCCCTGCTTCGACTTCTCCACTCCCCAGTCTTCCCACCCTGTGACTCATGCTGCTACTGCACTGCAGAACCTGGGAACTACAGCCAATGTTGGAGTGTCTCCTGTTATAGAAGAAAATAACCATTGCATCCCTCCATCCCTGATTTTTTAAAATATGCCCACTTACCCTCTATGGCCAAGCTTTCACAGAGCTGCTACATCTTCCCTGTTTCAGTCACTGTGCACCCTACCCTTAGGACTGGCTGAAAGGCACTCAAACCCATGGGGACCTCAGGCCTTCTACTCACCAGAGCAGTCATGTCCCCCAATGTCAGATGTGAGGCAACACTTCTGGAAACCTGAGGCTTCCCGCACATCAGAGGAGTTAACCCCCCACCCTGGTACCACAGGTAAGACAGCACCCCATTCCCAGGGGCTCTGAGCCTATGGCACACAAAAGCAGCACCCCCAGTGCCACCACTGATGTAGTACTCTACTTACTCAAGGATTCAGAGGCTCCACTGACCCATGTAGCCATGCTGTTTGGGTCAAGCAAATGCAGCACCTGACATACTAGAGTATCAGTGCCTTGCTTGAGCTGTACCACCCTTCCTTCCAGGCTGAATAGCCACAATGCCCACTTACCTAGAGCTGGACTAGCCTCCTGCAGTTCAAACTGCTAAGAAACCCTGCCTTTCCAGGGAGTGAAGTCAGTGCTGCACTGTTCTCCTCCCTCTGCCACCCCCAGAGTCCAAGCCACAGCAGTGTCTTGCCATTTCTGATGCTGCACCTGGCCTCACAGAGCCTGGGATACTGCTGTGTTTCACCATTAGAGAGTCCAGACCCCAAGTCATGCCAGTGTTGTTCTCTGCTCCCCAGGATTACAACCACAGCTACATTTCAGCTCCCTGGGCCTAAGTTGCTTTGCTGTACCTCAGAGCAACAGACGCTGCCTTACTGGGAAAACTTCATTCATGTGTACCTTAGAAAGTGAACCTTTGCCTCAAGTCCTAGTGCTAAGGTAGTTTCACAAGATCCTCAGTCCAGGAGCCTACCTCCACAGGTTCTCTGAGCATCTATGTCCTGGCTCCAGTGTCCCTGCAGCTGCCTGTGAGCCATATTAGACTCAACACCAAGAGAGATCTCTTTAGCTAAGACTTCTCACTGTGGGAAAGACAACAACCCAAGAGTTACTAAAGCTTTTATGCTATTAATCTATATAGCCATCATAACTGTTACAAATTCCTACAACCTAGGCCACTGAGGCACCCACAGTCATCCTGACATTGATTGCAACTAAAGAAACTAACAAAAACTACACCATTGCACCAACATGGAACCAGAACCACCTCATCATTCCCAACAGGAACCTCAGACCCATCTGCAGCTGAAAGTCTTCCCTTATGAGAGCCACTCTGTAAGGTTTGGAAGAGGCAACTACACCACCAGGTGCACAGACATCAATACAGGGACAAAAGAAACATGAAGAAGCAAGGAAATATGATACCACGAGGTACCTAATAATTCTTCAGTAAATGATTCCCCCAAGAAACAGTAGTTACAGATTGCCTGAAGAGCAACTTAAAATAATGATCTGATGTAAACTCAGAAAGATACAAGAAAAATAGACAATTTAATGAAATCAGGAAAACAATTTATGATCTGATTGATTCAACAAAAAGATATCATTAAAAAGAATCAAACAGAAATCTTGAAGCTAAAGAATTCAGTCAATGAGTCGCGAGTTAGAGAGAAGGAGCATGTTCAACTGCAGGAGCAGAGCGGAGCAATGCCTAAATCAAAGGAACTCGTTTCTTCAACCTCTTCTGGCAGTGATTCTGACAGTGAGGTTGACAAAAAGTTAAAGAGGAAAAAGCAAGTTGCTCCAGAAAAACCTGTAAAGAAGCAAAAGACTGGGGAAACTTCCAGAGCTCTGTCATCTTCCAAACAGAGCAGCAGCAGCAAAGATGACAACATGTTTCAGATTGGGAAAATGTGGTATGTTAGTGTTCGGGACTTTAAAGGGAAAGTTCTAGTTGATATTAGAGAATATTGGATGGACCCAAAAGGTGAAATGAAGTCAGGAAGAAATGGTATTTCTTTTAAACCAGAGCAGTGGAGCTAGCTGAAAGAACAGATTTCTGACATTGATGATTCAGTAAGAAAACTGCAAAATCCGAGCCATGTTAAATCTATACTGTTCTTGTTTTATTCTGTCTTTTTGAATTGACTTTTGTTTTCTAAATGTTGTTCTCCAAGCTATTGCATGTTTGGATTGCAGAACAATTTGTAAGATGAATACTTTTTTAAAATGTGCTTTATTAAAAATGTTCTGAGTGAAACTAATTGTCAATTTTATTAAGGAAGATTGCTTTGTGCCCACCACCTAGTGTAAAATAAAATCAAGTAACACACACACACACACACACACAAATTCAGTCAATGAAATTAAAAATACATTAGAGAGCTTCAACAGCAAACTGCATCAAGCAGAAGAATTTGTGAACTTTACGTCTTTAGAAGCTGGACTGGATTTTAAAAATGTGGTACATATACACAATGGAATATTATGCAGCCATAAAGAAGGACAAATACATGAACTCTGCAGCAAATTGGATGGATTTGAAGTCTATCATACTCAGTGATTTGTCACAGAAACAAAGAACTGAGTTCCATATGTTCTCACTCATAAGGTGACCTTGAACAATTATAATGCTATAAGAAAGCAATTGGCAGTAGTGCAAAACTGTCAGGGGAGAGGGTGGGACTGGCAGTTGAGGGAAACTGCTAGGGGAGGGAGGGGCATACCTCATCAACAAGGGTAACTGCATGATCAATGTTTGTATACCTAACCCTGAATTGTACCCCACATCTTTATAATAAATAAATTAATTAAAATAAATAAATACATCTTTAGAAATGACTCAGAAAAAAAGAGGAAAAACAGTGAAGACATCCTATAGGACTTATGGGACACCATTAAGCAAGGAAATATTACAAAAGGAGATGAAAAAAAGAAAGGAACATAAAGCTTATTCAATGAAATAATTGCTGAAAACTTCTCAAGTGTTGGAGGAGATATGGACATCCAGATTCATGAAACTCAAAGGCTTCACAAAATATATAACCAAAAGAGGTTCTTACTAAGACACATTATATTCAAACTGCTAAAGGTCAGAGATAGAGACAGAATTTTAAAAGTAGCAAGATAAAAGTGTCCAATCACATACTAAAAATCCTCTTTAAACAATCAGTGGGTTTCTCAACAAAAGCCTTACGGGCCAGGAGAGATTTAATAATTTAAACCCCTCAGAAATAAAGTTGAAAACTGTCATTCAAGAATACTGTACTCAAAAACGCTGTCTTTCAAAAATGAAGTAGAAATAAAGTTGTTCCCAGACAAGCAAAAGCTGAAGGCATTTATCACCACTAGTTCTGCCCTACAGGAAATGTTTAAGGGGGTTCTTCAAATGGAAAATTTTTTTAAATGATAATTACTAACATAAACACATACAAAAGTATAAAATTCACTCATGGAAGTAAATACATAGTCAAATCAAGAATATGCCAATACGGTAATGATGGTGTTCTGGCATACAAGGCTAGTTTGGCATGCACAAATCAATAAATGTGATACATTACATTAACTGAATAAAAGATAAAAATCACAGTGATCTCAATTGATACAGAAAAGGCATTTGACAAAGTCTAACATTAATTTTTTATTACAAAAAAACTCTCAACAGTTTAGGTATAGAAGAAAAGTTTATCAATATAATAAAAATTATTTATGAGAAACTCATAGTTAGCATTATAATCAATGAGGGAAAAACTAAATGTTTTTTTACTAAGATGCCCATTCCTTCGCTTCTATTCAACACAGTACTGATGTACTAAGAAAAGCAATTAGACAAAAAAAAAAGAATAAAAGGTATCCGGGTCAAAAAGAAAAAAAAAAAATTATATCTATTTGCAGATGACATGATCCTGTATATAAAGACTTAAATATTCACACACACACACAAACTGTTAAAATTAATAAATTCAATAAGGTTGCAAAATACAAAACTAACATTACAAAGGTCAGTAACATTTTTATGTACAAATAATATTCTAACTGAAGATATATATATACATATATATTTATATCATGATATAACTACATATATATGGAGGGAGAGAGACACTACTTGACTTGTAGTAGGGTTGAACTCCAATAAATCTATCATAAGTTAAAAATATTGTATAGTAGCCAGGCTCGGTGGCTCAGCCTGTAATCGCGCACCTTTGGGAGGCTGAGGTGAGTAGATTGCCTGAGCCCGTGGGTTCGAGACCCGCCTGGGCAGCGAGACCTCATCTCTACAATAAATCAAAAAATCAGCCAGATGTGGTAGCACATGCCTGTAATTCCGGCTACTCGGAAGGCTGAGGCGGAAGGATCGCCAGAGCCCAGCAGGTCGAGGCTGC